GACATTTTGGCACAGTTCAGTTATTTGCGGGGGAAAAAAAATTGTTTCAACTTTACTTGCAGGTTTTCCAGATACTAACAGGCATTGACACTGTCCACTCCCACCCCCACTCCAAAAAAGCCATTCCTGGGTGGACAGTGACAGACAGACCTCCTGATATTACAAAAGCTTCATCCATTCTGCTAGTGGCGAACCTGTGTTGTCCTTGAGTCATTGTCAAAGGAGTTATCTAGCTAGGTTTGCGACAACTGCAAGATACTGCAAGAAAGGATTGGGTCTTATCTAACTGATATGAGGTAGTAAAGGACAAAGACTGAATACTGAGTTTCCTCTGGTGGTAATATGAGAACATTTACTTAAGTCAACAACATGATCCCAAGCCCCTTTCCCTTTAATAGCGATTTTATTTCGGTGTTCAGGTGGTCAGAGGCAGTGTTCCTTCTAAGTTAGTGTGAGCTAGCTCACAGTTTTTTGTCCTAGCTCAGATAGGATGGCTCCAGAGCAAACTAATTTATGCCGCAGCCAAATTGCTCACTCAAAACTTTAATGCCAGTAGCTCACAAAGTAGAATTTTTGCTCACAAGACTCCAGAGTTTAAAGGGAGCATTGGTTAGAGGCAGGGCTATTTTTGGGCAGGAACTTGGGAGTTCCGGCTGGCTCCCAAGTTGGCCACGTCCAGCAGGAACTCATTAGCATAATAGGCCTCACCCAACAGCAGAAACTCATTAGGAATGGCTACATTAGGGGTGTGTGGCCTAACATGCAAAGGAGTTCCTGCAACAAAAAAAGCCCTGGGTTTTGACAACAAACAGAATAAGAAGCAAAAGGTGAGTGCGGCTGGATGACCACACTTATGGTAACATGGGAATGCAGCCTAATATGCTAATGAGCGGTACAGTCAGGGGTGTGGCCTAATATGCTAATGAGTTTCTGCTGCTGGGTGTGGCCTATTATGCTAATGAGTTCCTGCTGGACTTTTTCTACAAAAAAGCCCTGGTTAGAGGTCATCCCATGTGTCCATTTTGAAAAATGGGGAAGGGGAAATGGAAAGGCCTTGTTGCCCAAAGGAAAGGGCTTTGAGTCTGGTAAATATTTTGTTATCTCGGTAACTTGTAATGTCTCTTTCTACTTAGAGAGCACTCAAGGTAACTTACAGTAGATACTAGGCCAAAAATAATTTTAGAAGAGTGCAGCTTGGTTCCAGATTTCTGTAATCCAAATCTAATTGCACCGTTTATTGGATGTCCCATCCTCTTGATTGTACCGACTCGCTTGAGCCTCCTTGAGCCTCAGTGAGAAAGATGAACTATAAATAATGGAAATAAATAAACATAGACCCTTCTGTGTATTAGGCAGGAATTCCTCTCACTCATCTCCTGGTCTGCAGGCTTAATTACCAGTTCTCCTCCTCAAGGGACTTCTTTCTACATCTTGTTTCTTGATTACTTTTTAATTAAGGGATGATAAGGCTGGGTGGCTCTATTCAGCAAGTACCGATGCTGTAGTGGTAGAAGCATAGGATGAATTTTGACTTCAGGATTTAGCGCATTTGCAGAGCCTGGAATCTCCATTTAACTATCATGGCTAATAGCCAATGGCAGACTTGTCCTCTGTGCATCGGTCACTATGAATCCACTGCCTGTCACTGGAGACCAAGAGGCCTCCCAGTTTTCAAGGTTTGTGCAAAACACAGGGGCAGGTGCTTGAGAATATCCTAGATCCTTTTCCATTGCAAGCCTTAATGGGTGTGGGTTGAGAGGAGGAGGCTGAAGTTGGTTCCTTATTTGCAGTTCCTTATTCATTCCTTATTTGTGAATTCATCCAGTTGGAAAGCTGTGAAACCCGAAATAAGGTCTGGAACACCACATATCATATACCCCCACATTCAGGGGACTCTCCCCTTCAAGAAGATATATCCAGTTTCCTGGTCCAAAGCACAGTTCTTGTGCCAGCTGCTCCAAAGTGCGGTGCCCCCAGGACAATCACGCAAGCAGACACTGGGGCCAGGCTGCAACCTCCCAGAATCTTTGGACCACCCCAAATGACACATCACTACACTCTGGGGACTTTCCTCTGCAAGGAGACATAGAGCACTGCCCAGTCCAAACACTGTTTCTGGCCCCACACCCTTCTATTTGGAGTGCCTCCATGACAACACTATTTCTAAGGAGATTTGAATAAGGAGCTGCTTGCCCTTTACAACCCAAAATAAGGTTTGGACCACCACACTTCATACACCATCATGGTCAGCAGCCTCTCCCCTTCAAGGGGACATATTCTGTGTCTGGGTCCAAAGTGTGGTTCTTGTGCCAGCCTGGTGCCCCCAGGACAATCACACAGGCAGACACTGGGGCCAGGCTGCACCCACAAAACAATCTGTGGACCAACCCAAATGACATATCCTCATGCTCTGGGGACTCTCCCTTGCAAGGAGACATACAGCACTGCCCAGTCCAAACACTGGTTCTGGCCTCACACCCTTCTATTTGGGGGCCTCCAGGAGGCCTGTACTTCAAAGGAGATTTGAATAAGGAAGTGCCCTCTGCAGCCAAAATAAGGTTAGGACCCCCACACTTCATACACCCCCATCTTCAGCGGACTCTCTCCTTCGAAGGGACATGTACTGTGTCCTGGTCCAAATCCTGGTTCTTGTGAACGATGTTGTCTTTACTCCTGAATTGGGTTAAAACATCTTCCCCAGAGAAGCCAAGCGACATTACAGATAAAGAGCATTTGTCTTTGCACAGTCACTCGTTAAAAGCAATAAAACTTTGGAGACTAATAGGAATGACTCTGTTTCAATGGTTTATAATCCTTATGCAGTCGTCATAAATGTGTTTCCATGGAAAGGACGACTAATTGATTGGAATACAAAGGGGGCGTTATTCACCATTTGACTAATACTACCAGGCTCTCTGCAACAGATATTGACCTTATCAGGATGGAAATATTGAGTGGGTTTTTTTAGACAAGAACGTTATTTTTTTACATTTCCGCTCAAAAAGAATCCCCTCTCTTACGTTTACTCTTACCCCCAAGTTGGAGTCGGTGGGTATTCGACTACAAAGACACTTTCCAATCCTTGGATTATTTCCAAATTTTGATGTGAGGAAACAATTGAGGACTCTAAAAAACTCAAATGAAAGAACTACAGAACCCTTAGGGGCATTTAAGGACTCCAGGAAACCAGCAACAATTCTGGACTTACCAGTCCCTATCAACTTACCTTCACCTTTGAATGTATTGGATCATAAACAGGAGCCTAAACAGAAGCTTCGCAGTGATACTCAAGAACTAATGGATTATGAACACTCCAGTTCCAAAAGAAAAAGCTTGCTGGAAGGCAAGGACCCATTTGGGACGGAGGAGGACATTGAGGCTAATCTGCTCTCCTCATAAGCAACTCTACCTCCTTCTGAACAAGAATCCATCTTAAGCCATTTGGAGTCCCTGATATCAACTTTGAAGGACATAAGACAGTCTCCGGCAACTAATCTCTCGGGTACTGACTCTAGTACAGCTAACCACCCAGTGCCAGCTTCTTTGAGTAACCCAGTATTAGAACCAACAATATTGATTAAGAAAGGGAATACAAATCTGATTATCCCCTCAGATGATCCAATTTTATGCACGATCACAGAAGAACCATCTGGAATTGAGGCAAAAACTAATTTTACCAACCGGGTAACAGGGGCTAATGCATGATGGAGTTTTTAATCTAAAAAATTACTGTAAAGTACAAAAAAAATTCTTCCTTGGCACAGAGGAGTTATCCTCTGGTTATAATAGTAACATGTGAGCTGAACAGCCTTGCTGTCAGTTCTATCCCCGCGCTGGTGTGAGCTGCCAGCTTTGTCCTCAGCTTGCTGTCTACCCAGCGGTTCGAAAGCTTCGGTGAGTAGATAAAATGGGTACCACTCCTTAGAGAGAGTGGGCACACTAAACCCCCCCCCTCGTGGGGTGGAGCAGTGTTAGCCGGCGAACGGAAGTCCAGCTTGCATGATGGAAAGCCTAGAGAGATCTCCTCGGCGTGAAGAAAAGCCTGTAAAGGGCCGTCCAGCCAGGCGATGGCAGTGTGGCGCTACAACTCAAGGAGTCTGGAGAAAAGCTGACGGCATCAAACTCGGCTGAGGAAAAATGCCGTTCCGGATCACGTCTCATCTGCATCTGAACGAAACCCTCGTCGGCTGTGAATGTGTGCAATTTTAGATGTATATATGTTGTCTTCCCTTACCCCACAAAGCATTGTTAGTCCCTCGTGAAAAATGAGTAACTGTAAATCGCTCAGAGCCAGCAAGCTCTGCAGGATTGAGTGATCAATAAATTGAAAGATGATGATGATGATGATGATGATTATATAAATAAATAAAGGGGGGGGGACTTGAGTTGGCTTTCACATCCAATCAGATCCACCCCATTATTGAACCTGGACCACATCTGATAACAGATTGACAAATGGGCTTCTGTGCCAAATGGTCGGAACATCTCGCACAGAGGATGAAAGGGATTCTGGAAGAGGAGGAAGTTCGCAAGTGGAAAACAGCAATTATAGATGGCCCCTCTGATAGAAATCCATTGATTCCTTTGGAGTATATCATCCAGCTTTTAGGACCTTCCCTGGTACAAGATGCTTCCCTTCAAAGAAGGGTCTCAAAGAATGTTTCTAAGCGATGGTTTGACAAACAAAAGCAAAAAGAGCTCTTAATGATGCCTATAAAGTCTATAAGAACTCAGTGGGATCTGACATCGTATGTGCCCAACATCAACTTTTACATCTGAATAAAAACTATTAAAAGTTGGTGATATTAAAAAAAGCGAGGAAATGAAAAAGCTATGGAATAGAATCATCCAGTCCTCTAATGAGAAGACTTCTACTTAGTTTTGGAACTTGATAGCGAATCACTCATCTAAGAATGTTTCACCTCTTGACTCTTTTATTTCTCCTGCAGACTGGGAGGCATTCTTTTGCAAACTTTACTCTGATACCCACTATACCTCACCTCCAAGGAATCAAGATGCTCCTTCAGATCTGCTGGCATGGCCTCCTGTGACCATCAAAGAGATCGAATAATTGATTGGTAGACTGAAGAAAGAAAAGGCACCAGACCCAGACTTAATACCTTCGGATCTACTTAAGGATAATGCAAACTGGTGGGCCTCCCTCTAGGCCCCAGTATTTACTTATATAGATGCAATGAGCAATATCCCAAGAGCCTGGAGACAAGCCATCATCATACCTATTTTTAAAGCAGGGTGGAGGGAAGAGTCAGCCAATTATCAGCCTATCAGCCTCTTGAGTATTTTGGGTAAACTCTATGCCAGCCATTTACTAGAGAAACTACTAAGCTGGATAACTCAAGAAAATATATTAATGGATGAACAAGCAGGCTTCAGGGAAGGGCGATCTACTTTAGGTCATAACTTGATTTTATCCCATCTGATTGATAGATATGTGTCTAATAAAATAGTATCCCTTTATGCAGCATTTATAGACCTGAAGTCAACTTTTGACTCCTTCTCTAGAGAAAAACTTTGGAAGAAGCTAGAGATGACCTCAATTGATAGGAGACTCCTATTTCTGATACAGGCACTATACTCAGATACCGAGATTAGGGTTAGGTGCAATAAGGAGGGCCTCCTCTCTAACTCTATTCCATCTAATAAAGGGGTCAGACAAGGCTGTGTATTGGCCCAATATGCTGGGTCCAATATCTACAAGTTTTTTGCCATATACACTAATGATTTAATTGGCTATCTGGGATTGGTAGATACCCACTCGGCCACTTTAGCTGATTGACATCTGCTAGCTTTACTGTATGCGGAATATATGGTGCTACTATCCAGGACCCCGGTCGGCTTGAAAAGGGCGCTAAATCAATTTGGCCTGTATTGTGATTTAAATCATTTGGAGATCAATTAACAAAACTAAAATAATGGCCTTTGGCTCTAAACCTAAGATCAGAGAATGGAGCATAAATGTAGCAGTACAACAGGTAGCAGCTTATAAATGTAGTACAACAGGTAGCAGCTTATAAATACCATGGAGTTATGATTCAATCTTCAGGGGCAAAAAAGGCCCACCATGAATATGCTGCGAATTCTGGTTGCAAATCTACTTAGGGTATTGTCAGATTTTTCTCTACGAAAGGGGGGCAATATGTTCCAGTGGCCTTTAAATTGTATCTTGCCAAGACTGTGCCTCAACTGTTGTATGGGACGATGCTGGGTCCAATATCTACAAGCTTTTCTGCTCTCGAAAAAGTACAATCTAAATTCTTGAGAGCCATATTTCAGTTCCCTAAAGGTGCCCCAAACGCTATTATGCACCTGGAATCCGGGCTGATAAGGATAGAAGCAAGGGTGACCCTTACGATATCCACCTTGCTCAAACTTAGTCACTCCCCTTTGGATATTACCTCGTTAATTTCGAAGGGTAGACACAGTTCTTGTTGGATTAGGGCTGTACATCAGAAGTTGGCTTTGCTAGGCTTTTCACCTGAATCTCTACAAATGATGGCTTAAATCAAGCAAGAGGCGTGGTAAAGCAGCAACTATTTGATGTAGAGAGACAGAATGATATTGCTAGAGCCCCTAGTTTTTTGGCTCCTGCTCAAATAAGATATGTAGTCTCTCCAGCTCCATATTTGATGAATTTGGTAATTCCATCTCATCGAAGGGGCTTCTCTTTGGCTCGTTGTAATATTTTCCCTTCTGAGGTCATACTAGGTCGCTACAAGAAGATACCTCTGGCTGAGCGTATTTGTCCTTGTGGTATTGGAGAGGCTGATACTATCAATCATATTTTGCTTGCGTGTGGGTTCTATCAAAATATACGAGCTACATTTATCCAACCCATACGGGAAAGGCTTTCAGGCCTTTTGGATTCTGATATTAGTATTTTGCAGAGGAGGGAGAGCTTGTACCTGAATAAAACTTGGTCTTAAAGGTGCCACTGGACTGTTTTGGGCTGGGGGGGGGGGCTCTGCAACTTACCTGACTGCTTCTTGCTCTAACTGAGGGCTGCTGGGAGCAGGGGGTGGGGCTTGTTGCATGTGCCTGCCCCCTGGGCTCTTTACTCCCGGAGCTCCGCTCCTGTGCGCTCCTGCAGGAAATGACCCCTACTCACTGTTAGGGTTGCCATCCTCCAGGTGGAACCTGGAGACCTCCCTCTATTACAACTGATCTTCAGACAATAATCAATTCCCCTGGAGAAGATGGCTGCTTTGGAGGGTGGGCTCTATGACATTGTGCCCTCCTGAGATCCCTCCCCTCCACAAACCTTGCCCTCTCTAGGCTCCACCCGCAAAATCTCCAGGTATTTCCCAACCCAGAGCTGGCAACCCTAGTTGCTGGGGTTCTTACCAAGTGTTTTTCAAAAACTGGTTTCTCCAATCACAGAGAGGACTATTCTGTTTCTGTCAGTGACAGCAAAGGTGCCTCTGGGAAACGTAAAGGCAACAGCCCTCCACTGTTTGTCCCTCCCAGTTAGGTATTCAGAGGTAGACTGCCTCTGAACATGGATGTTCCACTTAGCTGCCAGAGCTGATAGCCATGAGATAGTCATCTTCTCCATGAATTCATCTAATCCTTAAAAAAAAACACAACAGGTTTTGGGCCTTCAGCACTTCATTGGCAGATCACTACAGGGATGGCTGTTTCACAGTTGGCACCAATTGCTGCTGCCTGTATACAATTAGTTGTATTTCATGGACAGGCAACTATATTTGCCTTTGATCTCTGAGCAGGCATTTGATTAATGGAGAAGCTGAAGACCTGGCAGCCCTGGGTATTGGTTGCACTCAAAATGTAAACAGATGAAAGAAACCAGTTCTTTTGGGAAGGAGCCAGGGGAATGTTTCTGTGGAGCTACTTAAAAGCTAGGTTGGTACTCAATGACAAAAGGTAAAGGTTCCCTTGCTCGAAAGCCAGTCGAATCCGACTCTAGGGTTGCGGTGCTCATCTCCGTTTCAAAGCCAAAGAGCCAGCGCTGTCTGAAGACGTTTCCGTGGTCATGTGGCCGGCATGACTAAACACCAAGGCGCACAGAATGCTGTTACCTTCCCACTGAAGTGGTACCTATTTATCTACTTGAAATTTCTTGCTTTCGAACTGCTAGGTTGGCAGGAGCTGGAATTAGAGACGGGAGCTCACTCCGTCATGCAGTGCACTCGGGTCTCAAACTGCTGAACTACCGACCTTCCACAGCCTGCAGTTCAGCATGTTAACCACTTGAGCCACCACCGCTCCTACTCAAGGACTAGAGGCCATTAAATTAGCCACTCAATAGCACCCAGAGACATTTCCAGGTTGGGTCTCTGCAGACTGGAGCACTAAAAACAGCAATTGCCTGCTGTAGTCTGAGACAAGGAGATAAGGTAAGAAGGGGGAATGCAGGTGCGGGTTCATTCTCGGCATTTCTGATCAGTTGTTCAGATTCTGAAAACTGGCAAGTTTTTGATGCCCAGTGAAGTTATTCTAGTGCTACAACAGGACAGACTGTCACAAACCTGGAACTTTTGCATTGCAGAAACACACACTGATTTTCCACGGGCATATGGACAATTCACATATGTAAATCACTGGATTTCTTACTCTCTGGGGCTGGTTCAAGCATGCCTATGACAGTTTACATGTATGAATGGGTTGCTGCAGATAGGAAAAAATTCTGTTACCCCAAGTGCAATGCTTGTCAGTTCATGAATGTTCTGCTGCCCGTGTTTTAAGTGAGCATCAATTGAGGTGTGAACCAAGTCTGTGACTTGAGTTGGAATGTGTGAACAGACTTCAGTGGAAGGTGCTATCTTTGACAGTATGAGAGGTGATAGGAATATGAAATTAGATCTGCAATGGCTTGTTCCAAATGTCTGCTTTCCCATGATGCTGCGGGCTGTGTGTGCCACAACAAATACTTGGGAAATATATGGCTAATGGGTAGCCTCAAAAAGGTTATCCTGCATGTGGCAAAAGCTTCACAGAGGGTTGCTGGCTTTTAAATTTGTCCCTTTAATATTGATTTGATCAGCAGCAATTATCAGGTGATGTTATTTAGTTTCATGCTGAGAAGAGCTTCAACAGCCCATTTCTGCACATTAAACCTCAGTCAAAGGGACCAGGACGTTCCCCCCACCCTCCCGGTCAGTTGGCATCCTTAACTGTGCATGAATTAGAACAAAGTTTGAGTCCAGTGGCACCTTTAAGACGAACAAAGTTTCATTCAAGGTATAAGCTTTTGTGTGCAAGCACACTTCCTCAGATACAATGTGCTTGCACACAAAAGCTCATACCTTGAATAAAACTTTGTTGGTCTGAAAGGTGCCACTGGACTCAAACTTTGTTCTGCTGCTTCAGACCAACACGGCTACCCATCTGAATCTATGTGCATGAGTTTAATGACCCTACGCAGGGAGTGGAAATGTGCTGAGATTGTTCTGTGTACTTTAGCCCTCACACAGCCCATCTGCCCTTGTCTGGGTTTTTCTGCCATGTACTTTCCACAAGAAATTTGGTGTGTGGGTTTTGACACAACTATGTCTTGGGATCTAGTGCTGGGGGGGGGGGGGTAGGATATCCTGCCAGATAGGAGGGTTCCATCCCTGCATGTCCATCTTTACTGTATATTTCACTCTTTTCCTATAGCAGCCTTTTAATGTTTCATTCCTTTCTAAACTTTTCCAAGTGCTGGGCTTGTCCTTGAGATACTTCTCTGAAACGGAGCTCAGAAGAGAGGCTGAGGGAAGCTGCGGCTGTGGTCTGTGAGCAGGCAGTGGAGCATCCCAGCCCTTTGTCTCGGTCCTGCAGCTCCTCTTGCCTGCCTGGAGCATCCTGAGGCCATCAGCTAAGGCATGTGACGGGCACGCTCCTGATACAGCAAGCTGACGCATCTGCCTTGCACAGATATGTGCCCATTTGCGTCCACACAAGGCTTCAATTGATTAATCAGGAATGTTCCATAATCTTTGACTTTCAAAATGTGCCTATTTTAGGACACGCTGGCCATAAGACACGTAGTACACAGTGGAAGGCACTTGAGGATCAATGT